GCACCCCAATTCATTACCGAGACCTCTAAGTTTGGGATGGGCATCCGGCAGTGTGGCGCTCAGATGGACATCCCATCTAGGCGTCCCACCCCACATCCCTGACAGAACTCCTGATTCCAAGGACCTTCCTTGCCCCTTATTACAGTTCCCAGTCTTCTCCTTGATCACATTACCTGTGTTCTCCTCAAGAACCAACTAGGCCTTTGCTAGTTCTGCCCTTGCCCATTTCAGCTGTTCCATTTCTGTGGGCAAGCCAGAGCACACTGGAACAAGCGTTGGAGCTGCATACAACCAGTGTTCCCTCTAAGCTGAGTTAGTGTGAGCTAGCTCACAATTTTTTAGCCTCTGGCTCACACATTTCTGTCTTCGCTCAGGAAGGATGGCTCCAGAGCACACTAATTGATGCAGCAGCTAAATCGCTCACTCACAACTTTAATCCCAGGAGCTCACAAAGTAGACTTTTGGCTCACAAGACTCCACAGTTTAGAGGGAACATTGCATACAACAGACTGGCCTATTACTGCAGCAACTGGAGAGAGAGATTAGCCAAGGCTTTTGCCTGTCTGAGACAGTGGCTTAGAACCACAAGGGAAGGAAGAGGTTCAAGAGCCCTTTGCCTGTGTCTCACCAGCCGTTTAGGAGCAAGTTGGCAGGCAGAGCCAACATTACCACCTCTTCAGCCCATACTCAGTTCAAAATATGGCAGCTGTCAGCCAGGGCTCTGGATTGGTTTTTTATTTAGATAGTTATACCCTGCTTTTCTCCTCTGTGGAGACCCAAAACAGTTTACAACGTGGTTCTGCCCTCTTCTTTCTTATCCTTACCACAGTCTTGTTAGGTATGTTAGGCTGAGAGTGTGTGACTGGCTCAGGGTTACCCAGTGAGTTTCCATGGCAGAGTGGGGATTCCAAGCTGGATGTCCCAGATCCTTCTCTGACACTCTAACCCAGAGGTGTCGAACTCATTTGTTATGAGGGCCGAATCTGACATAAATGTAACTTTGTTGGGTCAGGCCATGTGTGCTATAAAATGTAACATGAGGTACCAGAGATATAAACTTTATGAAGATGATTTCAGATGCCTAATGGCAATAGCAGGCATGATTGGATTAGGTGTGATATGCAGAAGGGAAGTAGGTGTGGAGATATCAGCGTTGGTAATGAGACAGGAAACCTAGGTCTCAGTTCCATCCAGGAAGATTCAGTCAAGGAGGATGCAAAGAATAAATAGACATAAGTCTGACATTAGAAACCACAACATTCAGTTGCTGACCTAAGAGTAGCAGTGCTCTTACAAAGTAGAAAGAGAGGCTGCTGAATTGCATTCTCCTGGACTGGACTGAGATCTAGTTTTCCTGTCTCATTACCAATGTGGCATCTTAAGTCACTCCACTCTCCAAGACATAAGGACCAATCCAAGTGTTCTTATTCCTAATCAGGATCTTTTTGAAAGAAAATAAATCTAGATACGCAGAGAAATCCAAATATTTTTTTAAAGAAAACAAATTTTTCAGAATAAGCCAAAATAATTTCCTCAATGTACATTGTGCTTATCAGAAGAATACATCCACCCACCTACCCACCCACCTACCCGAGAAGTGTGCTTGCACACAATGCTGGAATAAAACACTGTTGGTCTTAAAACTGGGACTCCATTTTGTTTTCTCTCCTCTTCCCTTTCCCCCCCCAAAAAAGAAGAGGAGCAGCCCTGGAGAAGAAAGCAGAAGCGACCTCTCTCTCTCTGTGTGAATGTGTGTGTGAGAGAGAGAGAAGGAGGGGCAGGCAGGCAGGCAGGCTTGTCCTTTTATCTCTCTGGCAAAGCAGCCACAAGGCTTTCTCTATCTGTGTGTGTGAGTGAGAGCAAGCAAGCAAGGAATGGGGGGGAGGGAGGCTTGCTTTTGTATTGTAGTATGAATGGGAATATAAAGATTTTGATATATAGGTTTTTTTCTTCTTGATTGTTCATATTCATATTTCTCTGGTTTTTATAGATTTATTCTTTAAGTAATATTTTATTAGGATGTTAGAAAGGCCTGTTATATAGAAGGCTTTCCTCTTGTAGGTCTGATATTGTTAGCAGACAACATAATAGGTACAAAGTTCATGATTCTGTAGTTCTTAAGGGCAAAACCTTGCAATGTTTGGGTCAGAGAAGATTTTAGTCTCGTATGAAGAATCCTTGCCCATTATCATTTAGGTTAGCTTAAGTAAACACTTAGTTTGACGTAGATATATGTTTCTTTATATTTGGCCAATCAGAGGATTATTACTCAAATTACCACTGTCTTTTGTAACCAATTATGCTGTTTGAATATTGTTTTCTTGATGATGTCAGTCCATGTATAAAATATCGTGTATTTCCTGAATATGCTGAGAAGAAAGTAGTCAATTTTGGATGGACTATTTGGTCCAACTGTTTTCTTGTTAATTGAAATAAAACATAGATCTTCCTCCTCATTTGACTTCATTTTTGACATGGAATCTAATATGTACAACAGTATCTCTCCAGCATGAAGCAGCCACAAAGCTGTGGGTGTGGGTGTGAGTGAGGGGGGGGGGAGCGAGGGGGAAGGGTGCAGGAAGCAAGAGCCACTGAGAGAGCTGGGGGGGGAAGCAAGTTAGGGTGCAGCTGCTTGGGGGGGCAATTTTGAGCCCTGTGTGGGCTGGATCTGGCCCGCGGGCCGCATGTTTAACACCCCTGTTCTAACCACTACACTGCACTGGGGTTGTATCTGGATGTCCTAAACCAACTGCTGTCTGTCTGTGACAAGCTTGGGGCTGGTTCTCTCTTGCGCCTATGTGTTCCCTCCTCTACTGCCTTGC